GCGACACTCCCAATGGGAAGGGAGAGAAAGAATTAATGGAGAAGTTCAACTGAGAGTTCCTCAGGTGTATATGAAAATGTGTTAAGTTTAATAACGGAGCCTTTAGTGACGTTGTTTAGTGAATGGGTTTCTACTAAATTTGTAGGAGGATAATGATATTTATTGAACGTGAATTTCGTCTAGAGGTAGAAATTATGGATTTAAATAATTCGAATTTCAACTTGATAATGATTAATACGATTGATATAATCAGAATATCTATGCAAATGGTTATTAATTTCCAATGATTCACTATGTTTTTCAATTTTTCTTGTATCGAATCTTCGACTTGGTCGAGTTCTTTCACTAGTTGGTTTGCCAATTGTTGTCCTTCCTTTGCGATTTCTTCCCAAATAGAGTCGTCTTCTTGTTAATATGATATTAAGTTAATTGTATCGTGATAGTGGCTTACAAGTTCCAATTCAGCATTGATTCTCTCGATTTCAAATTTGCCTTTTAATCCTCCACTGAACTCGATGTTTTTGAGTGTGATTCCATTAGTCTTACAAGGTGCTACCAGTAATTGCCCAAGACGAGAATCCCTCCTAGCTATTACATCATTTCTTTGCTGTAGCATTTCTGCAGCCAGAGTAGGATAATTTCCGGACATCTCAATCAAATATAGTAAGTTATTTTTATTCTAGCAGCTTTTTTGATAGGTTACCTTGAGTAATTGGATGAATTCTCGTCTGAGAGAAGCAAAGATATATTGAAACTTCACATTTTTGGTTAAACGTTTCTTCTAGGGAAATTTCCATCAGAAGTAATCGTTTTGTCGTTTCCTGGGTTTGATTCAAATTCGCTATTGATTTATCATCAATGTTATTGTTCACGTCCAGAATAATATTTTTTTCATTAAATAAGAGTTATTGAATCCACAATTCAGGTTTATCATTGTATGATTGGTTTTGTTGTCACAACTCCACCTTTCCGGAATACTGAACGGTATCCCTGAAGTCCAATTGCAATTCTTCGTTGCTATTGCCTGGGTTG